TTCTGGTCATAAACATCATCTTAATTTGGTAATTAGAATAGCCAGTCCTATGTTATCATTATCAAAACCCCAAATGTAATTTAGCATTAAATCTTTTATCCACTCTGGGACTTTTAACCGGCCAGGACCCCTGGTCTAGGAGAGGATGTTGGCTGCTTCACATCTTCCCCACTCTTCTTGCTCATAGCTTGCAAGAGATGTTTCTTCCTTCTCCCGGGTTGGACCCAGGAGGAAAGTGAATTGGGAGGCAGGAGTACTGTGGTGGTGTTGGGGCCCTCTGGGAGGCAGGTGTTTGAAGATGATAGGTAAGCATCCTGGATTCCTCCAAGTTTCCCATTCTTGGGGATATTTCTTCTGGGCATGTATACTCGATTCTGGCAATATTACTTTGTTCCTTTGTAACCCAAGGGTATCAAGAAGAAGGGAGGAAAAACTTCCTCTGTCCTCTTAGAGTCAGTCATTGGGGGCTTGCACATTAAACTGACAAAAGACAGATTAGCGAGAGAAAAGACAGATTTAATCATGAATATATGGAAGTTCACAGAAAAATGTGCTCAAGGAGGCAGTTAGAATTTGGGGTTTATAAACCATCTTAATAGGGGAAGGAGAGGGGGAGAAGTGTAGCTGTGGGAAAATAAATGACTTTTTGGAAAGATAAATGGGCCGGCCCTTAAGAGAATAGACAGGAGGTATGACAGTTTTTAGTGACCATATGTTTTTGGGTGTGGTGCTGATGATAAGAGTAAGCCTTCCCTGTCCAGGGGATTTAGGACAGTTGAGTACTTTTGGGAAGCTCTGCTTTTGGGTAGACAGGGGATTTCAGGAACTCAAATGCTTTTTGCTCAAAATAATGTTTATGCCACAGTGGCAATTCTAAACCCCTTCTCAAGCATTCTACCTCTGTCTTCCTTTATGTTCAGCTCTTATCACCTGCTAAGTGGCCCTACTGGAAATAATTTTAAATGACCTCTTGCTGTGTAGGGAATGAGAAATATCTTTTACTTCTACCCTTCTAAGTTCATGACTGGGTCCCCATAACAAAAGACAGATTAACAAGAGAAAGCATACAGATTTTTTAAATGTAAGCACATGACACTGGAGGCTTCATAGAGAAATTAATACCCAAAGAAACAGTTAAACCATAGTGTTTTTTATAGTAGGTTTAATGAAGTGTGGAGAATTGTGGAGAAATGATAGCACAACGAATATGAAGTAAGTGTAGTAACTTGGGGGAAACTTAGCAAGGCCTGTTTGTTCAGATTTCTCTCTGTCCCTTCATCTTCCGCGATAGCATGATCCTTCTGTGTATAGAGAGGGCACCTGTCACCTGAGGGTCTTATGATCTGCTTCAGGGGAAAGTCAGAAAATTCTATTTAGGTTTTAGGACCTGTTCTGGGAGAAGTGGGGTGGGGCTGGGGAGGATGTCAGAGTGACTTTCCTGTTTCTGCTGTTTTTTCAAATTCCTTTAGATTAAAATATTCAATATGCCAAGGTGCCATATTTTGGGGTAGCATGTCTTGAACCCCAACACTAGCTATCTCTTAGACGTGGTTCACCTCTGCACATATGAAGTTCTTGCACATTCTTTGCCCTGCATTGGTGGGAGCATAGTTCCTTCCTGAATGCGGCTCTTCTCTTTTTGTCCGATGGTCTTCTTTTTCACTCTTTCCCAGCCCCTGTGTCTTTCTCAGGCTTAAAGTAAGGCACCCAGTCCACAGTGTCCCCCAGTTGCTGGGAACACATATCAAGTTCCTTAATTGGCCTTGCTGAAGTTCATTCTTCCTAGGTTTGAAACGAAGGAGTTAGTGAAAGTACCTTGTCCACCCCAACCCACCTTCTTGGAGGAAAGAGGGTTTGGAGTATAGTACTTCCTGTAAAGAAATTCTTTCCAAATCCTCTTCCTTCCCAACCCCCTTCTTAATTAAAAAAAAAAAAATCTTGAAGTGCTGAGGGAGTTCCCGAGTTGCATAACAGGTTTATAGCCATTTCCTTTGTAAATTCTGCAAATAGGGCCGACCCTGTGGCTCACTCGGCTGAGTGCGGCGCTGGGAGCGCAGCGGCGAGGGGGGCTCCGAGGCCCCGGGTTCGGATCCTATATAGGGATGGCCTGTGCACTCACTGGTTGAGCGCGGTGTGGGCGACACCAAGCCAAGGGTTACGATCCCCTTACCGGTCACAAATAAATAAATAAATAAATAAATAATAAATAAAATTCTGCAAATAATGATCTGTCTCTCATAGACTTTGGTATCTGGTGTTTGTCATCTATTTTATTGGTACTTAAGTTAAAATTTTGGAAAAAAATGAAAAAAAAAGGGTTATCTTTTAACATTTTTTTAGTGTATGTTAAAAGGGCTTTTTTGGTTATGAAGATTTTCTTAAACGTGAAAGAACTTTGATGGCTCACAGTTTGACAGAGTATTTTATCTGTATGGATAGACAATAATCCTCAGTTAGGGGAAATTGAAACAAGTAGTTTTCCAACATTTGCCAGAATTATTATAGCTGTAAAAGTAACCCAGGTCATCTTTTGATTGATTAATTTTTTTCACTTCAGTAATTTATTTAGGTTAAATCAGATAAGGTGGTGCAGCATCTGATCTGAAGGCTTAGGATCAGGTGAACCATCTTCCTTCGGAGATTTGTGTACCGTTCTTTCTGGAGACTAATTATTATTCTTAGGACTTTTTTTTTTTTTTTTTTGCTATCTTATTTCAGATTTTATATTTTCTGTAGTTCTTTTTGTTTTGTTGGTATCTTTTTTCCTCCTTTACACTGGGTAAATCCAATTTTCTCCTGTGGTTTAACAGTCACTCATTCTCTTTTTATTTTTACGGTGATTGCCTTTAACTTAAGACACTTATTATCTTAGTTTGAACTTCTCCCTGCTCTCCATCCCCCACCCCTCCCACCAGCTGGGTGGGGGTGGTTTCTTTGGGACATGATCCCAGGAAGTAGGAGTGAAAGACTAGGGAGTGTGAGGCAGGGAAGGGAGAAAAACCTAACAAAACTAAGTGTCACTGTAGGTAACTGGAGATCTGTCTCTCTGAGGAACCATGTAGATATGCCTCAGGATTGTCCACCAATGGGAGGCTGAGATATTTATCCCACCACCCATAGTTAAAGCTTCTCCCCAGAGGCATCAGTTCGCCTTTGGGGATGTATCAGAAAAGCCCTGGGAGAAGCAGAGAGCCACCTGCACCATATTTTGAGTGTAGGACACTAGCAACAGGCATGGGAACTGTCCTTGACAGCTTTGCTGAAACCAGGGCCATGGTGTCCACTACACTCTATTTACCTCCTTCCATTACTTAAACTTTTTGTATCAATATTACATCTTCCTCCTCTTCAGACAGCACTTTGGCACATTCCCACATTTTTTGGTCACTCCCCGTGCTATCCCCCATTAAATAATTTTGGGGTTGTTATGGAAGTACTTTTTCTTTTATCCTTTGGTCCTGATTTTTTACAATAACATTGAGCATTTCTTAATCATTCTTATTGTCCATATCTCTGGCACCATCTGCTTAGATTTTTTTCTTGTATACTTCCTCTAAGAGGTTTTTTGTTTAAGTGTCTGAAACCTCGTACACCTGGAAATGCTGTATTGAGCCCTCAAATTTAAATGACAGTTGGCTAGATATGAAATTCAAGGCTTAATGCTAACAAATAAAGTTTTATAATAAAGAACGGTTTCCTAGTTAAAGTATGATTGAATAATATTTTGTTATCTGTAGTTTAGGTAAATATTAACGTTCAAGTAAATATAAATTTATTTACTAATATTTTGATGTGATCTCTTTAGTTTTCTGTCTTCTTAATAATTCAGAGTCCAGAGTACTCACCATTATTACGCTGTGGAACCATCCTTTATTTCTGCTTTAATTCTGAGGAGGTCTCAAAGTCTCTGTCTGTCTGTCAGTCTCTCTCTCTTCCCCCACCTCTTTCTCTGAATTTGTGTAATTAATTTATTATTGGCTTTAAAACCTGCTCTTAGAGTGGGGAAGATTTTCTCAGATGAACCTTCTGCTTTTACAGTAATAGCCAGCTGCTGTTTTTCTTACATTCTGTGCTCTTTGCTTTCTACAGTATTCCCTCTGATGATGTACAAACTATTTTTGGCCTTAGAGTGTCTTGGGTAGCCCAGGCATGTCTAGAGTCTTAGTAGGAAACTCTTTTACCTGAGGGATCTGTACGTAATGAATAATGGTAAGAAAACATGCCTTGATTCCCGGAAATCCTCTTGACCCCTGGGAAGATTTCTCTTGTCACTTATATACCTGCTTTTGTCACCATGCTGCCTGAATCAATAGCTAATCATTTATAAAAGAGCTTCTTCTGGAGGTCACTGCTTATTTTTAATCTTAGATATTATCAACCTTAAGTGACAGTTGATGGTTAAAATATTGACAATGGATACGGTATAGGAATTATTGCAGTTGAATAGGGTAAAAACTAAATTAAGCTTTCTCCCCCTCTATTTTTTATGCACACACACATCTACACACACACACATATAGCTCTTGGCACTGGTTCTCAAATTATGTTCCTTAGGATCACTGGTATTCTGCTACTAAAATAAATAATTCAAAATTTTAAAAATGTAAACAGAATGAACAAATTATGATTTTTTTCTCATAGGTTATTCTTAAATCTGTGCTGAAAGAAGTTAAGAAGCAAATGACAGATATTAACAGGAGGACCTTGGCAACAGATTATGCTTTTACTATTCTCTATAGCTCTTATAATGGAATTAAATATATCGGTATTTTGTGGCATTCCAAAAAGAATGTATATAGTTTTGAGGGCAATTTGACACTTGAACATATTTAAGAACCATTGTTTTTTATAAAAATTGTTCTTCAGGTTAGAAAATAGAGTTTATATGTTGAAAAATAAGCAGTGTTACAAGGATGAGTTGAACATTTATTTACATAAAAGTTGTTTTGAATAGATAAAAGATGCTTCCAACTTACATAGGATTGTTTCATTAATGTAAATAACATTTTTATTTTGTGAACTTACAGGAGCCCAGGCTTGTGTGCTTGTATTTTCTACCACAGACAGGGAATCTTTTGACGCAATTTCCAGTTGGAGAGAGAAAGTAGTAGCTGAAGTTGGAGATATACCAACTGTACTTGTACAAAACAAGATTGATCTCTTGGATGATTCTCGTATAAAGAAGTAAGATGGTTACTTTTGGGGGAAGTGGGATAGTATTTCTGTACAGTTAAAACATTTTAATTTTTGCATAGACTTATAAAATTTAGTAAAGTTTTTATACTTATTTAAATTTTAAAGGTTTTAATTACTTAAAGTTTTAATTTACTTAAATTTTCTGTGAGCTATTCAGTGTGATTGGTTTAGGTTAAAAAAAATTCACACTGAATCATAAGTAGAGAAAATTAAAGGAATAAATTTTGAAGGCGCTCTTAGAATTCCAGTCTTAGGTCCTTGTACCACAAATCCATTTTCATGTTAAGTCAAACCATAGTAAGAATGTTAAGAAAAGCATGTCTAGATTTTTAATATCTAGAATAAGTAGCTATCCTATGTTGATAAAATTTCAATAAAGAGTTCAGATTCATATGTTTTATATATTCAGAACTAGTATGCTCAAATTTGTGAAAAGAGTTTATCATCCAGATAATTTCTACTTATAAATATTTTACTCATTTTAGTATTTTTGTTAGCTTTGAAAATCTTTGCTTGGTTTTTACCTTATGTTTTTATGTGTTCTTATATTAGTCATCTGTTGCTGTATAGCATATTGGCCCAAAACTTGTGGCTTAAATAACAAACATTTACTATATTATAGTTTCTGTGAGTCAGGAATTTGGGAGTGGCTTAGCTGGGTGATTTTTCATGAGGTTGCTGTCAAGATGTCTGCTAGGCCTGTAGTCACATAAAAGCTTGACTTGGGGTGGACCATCCACTTCCAAGGTGGATCACTCACTTGGCAGGAGGCCTTAATTCCTTGCCATATAGGCCTCTCCTTAGGGCTACTTGAGTGTTCTCACAACATGGCAGCTACTTCCCCCAGAGCATGTGATCCGAGAGAGCAAGTGATAAGTCACCATGTCTCATTTGACCTAGTCGCAGAAGTCACATACTGTCACTTCTGTTGTATATTATTGGACACACAAACCAACCTTGATTATAGTATGGGAAGAGACTGTATAAGGGTGTGAAGAGCAGGAGACAGGGGATCATTGAGAGCCTTTTGGGGCGTTGTTACTAAAGTCCTAAAACTAAAATTAGAAGTCCACTCTTGGAGACACAGTCATCAATACACTGACTTTGGCTTTTGGCAGCAAAGTTGTTTCATGTCTTGGTAAGAATAAAATAAATTTAGTGTAAGATTTTCAGAATGTAATTAAATCCAAATACACTTTAAAAGAAAAGAGAAAAAATTAATTAAAATATCTTATATAGAAAAGTGATATTTAGGGCCGGCCTGGTGGCGCATTGCTACAGTGCGCCACTTGGGAGCGCGGCGGCGCTCCCGCCGAGGGTTCGGATCCCACATACAGACCGGTTCCCGCTCACTGGATGAGCGAGGTGCGGGTGCAACACTGAGGGCTGCGATCCCGTTGCCGGTCCCAGTCCGGTACGGGCGCGACACTGAGGGTTGCGATCCGTTGCCGGACACGAAAAAAGACAAAAAGGGAAAAAAAAAAAAGAAAAGTGATATTTAATCATCTTAGGGCTAGAGATTAGTGACTTTGTAGGAAAGTCTTCTGTTTATAGTTACAGTATAATAGTTGGTGTTTATCCCAATGATTACAAAGATGAGTTGAACATTTATTTATATAAAAGTTGTTTTGAATAGATAAAAAAGTGGTGAAGCCTAAACATTGTGTTCAAGCACTGAGAACATAGCCTTCAATTGGTTTTATTTAACTGGGCAATAATATTAAACTTCTTTAGAAAGAAATGTGAAAAATTTCTGAAAGGTCTGATCCCCCTTTCTGCCCTGCCCTGCCAACCTGCATTTAGTAAGTATAATTTAAAAGTGACTTAAAAACAGGCTATCAGAAGGCACCTTTATAAGCCTTTTATTTTTTAATTTGATGTGCAGTGAGGAAGCTGAAGCACTGGCAAAAAGGTTAAAGTTAAGATTCTACAGAACTTCAGTGAAAGAAGATCTAAATGTGAATGAAGGTAAATTATCTTTTTTTAAAAATACATTGCAACAAGAAGTTTGTTTTATTCTTATGCTTTTTCTGTTGTTTATAAATTATGTTAATAAAGAGAAAACTTTGTTTTTATCATATAACATTAAGTAAAATTTAAAGGCATATTCTGCTTTTTTTGAGTTAGAGTCCTTAATTATTAATTATTTACTAATGTCTTTAAATACTTGTTACTCTCTACAGCAAAACTCTGGTGGGGTTTTTGGTTTTTATTATTATTATTTTCTTCAAAAATCTAAGCTAAGTATGTGTGAGTGTGTATGCATGTATGTGTTTTTCATGCATACCTTTTTATTTATTTATTTATTTATTTTTTTCCCTTTTTGTCTTTTTTCGTGTCCGGCAACGGATCGCAACCCTCAGTGTCGCGCCCGTACCGGACCGGGACCGGCAACGGGATCGCAACCCTCGGTGTTGCTCCCGCACCTCGCTCAGCCAGTGAGCGGGACCCGGTCTGTACGTGGGATCCGAACCCTCGGCGGGAGCGCCACCGCACTCCCAAGTGGCGCACTGTAGCAGTGCGCCACCTGGCCGGCCCATGCATACCTTTTTAAAATTACTGAATTGTTTTAGAACTCCACAGTAGTAGATATCCCATTAGATAGTTTAAATGACCTTAATTTGTTTAATAATATTTCCCAGATTAAGAAATCATCTTAGAATAAGATAATTATTATTTTTCTCTTTCCAGAATTGCTGCTTATTAGATGCAGCTAGATTGTCTCTCAGGTTGTTATTCTGAAGAGTTTTCTTCACCTAAAGAAAGCAGAAATCTTTTCAAGACTGAGTCAGTTTAGTGTTACTGAATATTGATCACTATTCAAATACTTAAAAAGGAAGAGCCAATGACTTCAAGTATTATTTCATTTCTTTACTAATAAAATGCCAGTATACATTTATTAGTATTATCACTGCACTTCTCAGGTATTGCTCAAATAATTTTTAAAAGTTAAATTTTTAACTAGATTCTGTGCTTCTAATTTAATTTTAAATTTGTTTAGTATGTGTAAATATTATAGTAACTGATGTGAAATAACAGATTCATATGCATAAATCATATTGACCTGGTGGAGGGGGGTTTTTTTATTCTAGTTTTTAAATATTTGGCTGAAAAATATCTCCAAAAACTCAAACAACAAATAGCTGAGGACCCAGAACTAATGCACTCAAGTAGTAACAAAATTGGTAAGTACCCAGGAATTTTAGCTCATGTTTACCTGGTAAATTTATTTGCCATTCATTATTATTATATTTACCTTTAAAAATATCTATAATATGCTCATTTCTTTAAGAAATGTGACTAAAAAGTGCTATATCAGTGATTATTAAACTTACAGTTATCAGGTCTCTTGTTAAAAGGTATATTGAGTTAAAAGTTCTTTTTCTTAACTATTGAACTTTCTGAATCCATTTGACACATTAAAAATAGCAGAGATATAAAGACATTTTATAAAGGTCTGTTATTTACATTAAGGAGCTTCGTAACACTTGTTCTTCTGATTCTATACTTGCCTGTTCTCTTACCTATTCCCTTTCCTACCATCTTGCTTATTATCTGTTTCTGACTTTTTAAAATGCTAAATGGTAGCAAAACTTTAGCATTCCCTGAAGAACAAGTGTGTTGTCATCTCTTTCACAGTGACTATGTCTCCCTTTTTGCTTTGGCTTCCAGGAAGATGAGCAGATGAGAGCCAAATTTGCCACTTCTACAGTTCATGTGTAGTCTCTTAAGGACTTCACATCTGTATTCCATCCTCCCTCACTACATGTAGTAAACACACACATCATTTTCGGGACCTGCTTTCTAAGCTCTTTCCTTGGTTCTGGCTTCTTTTTTTATATTTTGCCATTTTTATTGCGTGTTTTTCTGCCATCAGACACCTCTAGTGCTTGTGAAAAAACATAAGATACTTGCCGTGAGCCTCTACATGGTCTTGTTTACTTGGCCCCACTCTTGTCTTCTAATCCACTGATTAAAGCTCTTTGATAGATTCTCATTATGGAACAAAGTAAATGCGTATTCTCTTCATTCCAACATTTAAAGACAGTTTTGTCTATCCTTCCTGTGTAGCCTCACGCCCATCATTATATATGTACTCTGTTTACTGGTTCCCCCAGAGGTCTTGCTCTGTCTTACTTCTTCACTTTTGCTCATTTTGTTTCTTCTGTCAAGAATGACCTTTCTTCCCCACCTTCTGCCAAAGAACTATTCATTCTTCAAGGACTATCTAGAAAGCTCTGTCAGCTTTATATTTGGCTGAAGCCACAACCTCCATGCTTTTCTTCTAAAAGAATAGAAATCTAAGTCCAAGGCATTGCCAGCAGTTCTACCTTCTTCATGTAGTTTTTCTTTTCTTATGAATTAGATGTAATTGGTCCTTCCTTTAAATCATCTTGTGTTTCTTTAATGACACTTAATGTCTTATAACTTTGTCTACTGTCTTGTCTCATTAGATTGTACTCTTCTCATGGGTAAGAATTGCCCTTAGTCATGTTTTTATCCCTTTTTAGTGTCTCTGGCCCAGAGTTTTGTGTACCATGGATGCTAAATAGTTCGTAAATTGGATATGACATTTTGTGAATAGCACAGTTCAAAATGGAAACGATGATAGTTTAGTTTTTCTAGTTCATCTCTTCTATCTATTTGTCACTTTGTCTGTATACCACTTTTTTGTTGGTATTTTAGCCTAAGAAGGAAAACCCTATATTAGTACCAGCTTTTACATATGCATGTTTTTATTAACATAAAATCTCAGAAATACTATTATTAACTACAAATCAGGTATTCTTGAGGAAGTTATATGATGTGAAGTTATTAAAATTATCATATTAACTGATTCCCAATTTCAAAAACATATTGTTAGTTAAAAGATGTAGAACAGCATGTAGAATATTGCCACATTTGCTTAGAAAATGGAGGAAGAAAGAATATACAGTCATGCATCTCATGCAATGGACCACATATACAGTGGTCATCAGAGCAATATGCTATACCATATAGCCTAGGTGTATAGTAGGCTATACCTTGTAGATTGGCGTAAGTACACTCTGTCATGTTCACACAACAGTGAAATTGCCTAAAATGCATTTCTCAGAACATATCCCCATCATTAAGGGACACATGACTGTATATGTATTTTTGCCTATGTAGGCATAAGATATCTCTGGTCAGATATAGAGCTAACTGATAACATGCTTGCCTTAGGGAAGGAAAACTGGCAAGGGGGGATTAGGGTGAAAAGGAATCTTCACTGTGACCTCTTTTGTACGCTTTGAACTCTGTGCCATGTGTATTAGCTATTAAAAATAAGTGAAATGAAAACAAAAGCTTAAAATTGTAAATATTTGTACCATTGACGTGAACGGATAAGCAAAATGTGGTATATACATACAATAGAATGTTATTCATCCTTAAAAAGAAAGGAAATTCTGCAATATACTACAACATGGATCAGCCTTGAGGACATTATGCTAAGTGAAATAAGCCAGTCACAGAAAGACACCATATGATTCCACTTATATGAGATAGAGTAGTCAAAATCAGAGACATGAAGTCAGAGGTGGTTGTCAGGGGACTGGGAGGGGGAATGGGGAGTTATTGTTTAATGGATATAGAATTTCAGCTTTAAAGATGGAAGTTATGGAGATGGATGGTGGTGATGGTTGCGCGACATTATGAATGTATTTAATACCACTGATTCGTACACTTAAAAATGGTTAAGATGGTAAATTTTGTTGTGTGTCTTTTACTATAATAAAAAAATTGAAAAAAAACTAAGTACTTGAAATATTATTGATTTTACTAACAAGCTGGGTGCAACAGGTAATAATTTCTTTTAAGAAATGATTTAATAAGTAATCATGCATCAGAGCATACATTTTGTGACTTGGACAATAGTTTTCTAAGATAATTGCATGGACTCTGAGGTGTATCAGCATCATTCTATGTTTTCCCTCAATTTATACAGGTGTCTTTAATACATCTGGTGGAAGTCACTCGGGTCAGAATTCAAGTACCCTTAATGGTGGAGATGTCATCAATCTTAGACCCAACAAACAAAGGACCAAGAAAAGCAGAAATCCTTTTAGCAGCTGTAGCATACCCTAAAATGTTTTAGGAAGGAAAAATATTGAACTATATTGTGCAATTCTGTAAGAAAAACACCCAGCTGTCATGGTATGTTACAAGTTTTTTAGCAGACTTTGCGCCTAATGGCTCTCTGAAAGTTGACAGACTTAAATATTGCTCTGCAAATGCTTTTCAGAATGTAGAGTGAGACCTCTGGTGGAAAAATTACTGCCCTGTGGACTCATTTTAAGTTTTTTACATTAGACGAAGCTTCTCCTGTTTTTGAAGGAATGCTATAAGAAATGTCAAAAATAGGTTTTGCTGAATTTTAAATGCTGGAAAACATAAAAATGCCTAAATATATTGGTACAGATTTTAATATTGTGGCTCAAGGAAAGACAGCAAACATTCTTTTCCTGAAATTGGTCATCTAGCTTTTCTGGAAATAGTACTGAATCTGAATACTTACAAAAAAAATAATACTGAAGAGTAAACCCTAAGTCTTGCCAGAGTGCATTAGAATTTTGGCAATGTTACTTGTGCAATATCTGTATAATATAGAATGTGGAGATATGCATACAGATATCTGGTACTGGATTAACTGAAGGTATGTGAACTATTTAAAGAAATGTAGATTCTAATTAATTCATTCCTAAAACTATTTACACATTGTATATATGTTTTTATTTTCAAATGAGAAATTCCTGACATATATTTTGCAAAATGAGCTTGGATTTAAAAAGTGCTTGTGCCAAAAATATCATACCTAATTTTTACAGTGCTTTACTATCAGAATTTGTATTGTTTATAATATCTTTTAAAAGTAGTTTTCCTCTCTGACAAAGTATATAAAAAAGGAGTATAAACATTTTAATGCTAGAGCATCTCCCAGGTGAGACTTGTCGCTAGATCTTTTGTCCTGTGGCCACCTGTAAGCATGGTGAGCTGTAATAACTTAGCCAAATCCCTAAGAAGGTCCACTGTGCATCTGCAGCCCTTCAGGGAGTCCTGTGAGGTGCGCTCGTGCATCTAGCACATTTGGCTGCTGACCGAGAATCCAACTTTGAATATTTAAGATTATGCTAACTATTTTTAAAAATGCACAAAAGATGATCTTTAGTCTTAATCCAAATTATGGATTTTATGATGCCCTGCAACTCTAAAGCATTCTTTTAACACATTTTGTATATTATTTTATCACTTTTACAAATTTCTGTAACATTGTTTGTATAGCAGTTTCTCAAGATCTCTGTCAGTACCACACACAAAATAATTTCTTTTAAGAAATGATTTAATATGTAATCATGCATCAGAGCCTACATTTTGTGACTTGGGACAATAGCTTTCTGAGTAAGGTAATTGCATGGACTCTGTTAAAACTAATTATCATTCATCAATGGCTTTGTTTTTTAACCTATAATCACCCCTTTCAATATACCTGGTTTTTACAGGATTTCAAATATATAAAAATAACTTTTCCTGGAAAATGTATCATGAAGTTATTTTTCATTATTGTACTAAATATATAATTATATGTATTTCTCTTGTATGTCTTATCTTGTCTTGTTTTTTAAGTCTTCCATCTTCACCACCCTTATCTTACTGCCCAGATTAATATTGAGAACATTGTAGAATTTCCTGGAACATGTTCTCATTAAGTGGTCAAGAGCGAATGTTCACTTTTCAAGTAATCTGGCGTTAAATATTTCAAGTAATATAAAATGTTTTTTTGTCACCAGTTATCACCACTCCCTTTGCTGACAGTGGGATAGGTGCTGGGGAGAAAATTCAGTTCCTAACAATGGATACCTGTTAGTGATTCATCTTTTCTACTCTGTTGAAACATGGTCTCTTTAATTTTTGCACAAAATATATTTTGTGGGAAATAGTCTTTATGAGCAGAGAAATCAATTATTACATTAAGTGTTACAGTTCTAGTTCATATTAATTAACTATGTGTGGGTAAAGTATATTACTTTTCGGTATACAAATGTGATCTCTGATGATGGTTGCATTTCCCCTAATATTTGTCATATAATTTTTTTTTTTTCCTTTTTATCTTTTTTCATGACCGGCAACGGATTGCAACCCTCAGTGTCGCGCCTGTACCGGACCGGGACCGGCAACGGGATCGCAACCCTCGGTGTTGCTCCCGCACCTCGCTCAGCCAGTGAGCAGGAACCGGTCTGTATGTGGGATCCGAACCCTCGGCGGGAGCGCCGCTGCGCTCCCAAGTGGCACACTGTAGCAAGCAGTGCGCCACCGGGCCGACCCCTGTCATATAATTTTATGTACTTTGTTTTATCTATTTTTTTTTTGGCAGCTGGCCACTGAGGGGATCCAAACCCTTGACCTTAGTATTATCAGCCTCACACTCTACTGAGTGAGCTAACTAGCCAGCCCTGTCCTTTTTTTTTTACAGTAAGAACTAAAGAGAGATCTTTGTTACACATTTGAACATTTAATTTGCACTACTGTATTTTAAACCTAACCATAACTAGTCATTTAAAATAATTAAATAGGCCTGAAAATCAGCCACAGGTGCGAAGTGAAATAATTTCTCAATTTAATCAATTTCTGAGCCTTCAAAATTGACATTACATTTTTTTTTCCTCTCAGGCCCTTAATTCTTTTAAATAACTTTATTATTAATTTCTAATGAAACCATGGATGGTAAAGAAAGACTTGTCCAGCATTCCAGTTTATTGTACATTTGTGCTCTAATCTACTTTTTTACACTGTGGCTAACTTTTAGCATACAGATAGCTGTGGAACAATTGCTGTATTTCAGAGTTCCTCAGGTTTCCTTTTCCTTTTTCAATTTCTGCCTATGAATTAAATAGTTTACAGAATAACCCATATAGGGCAATTTAGCTAAATAAAACCAGGTTAAATAGTTTCCTTTTTATATTTGCCCAAAGTTGATAGCAAACGTACATTTTCAAAATAATGTAAAGCTAACACTACCAAAAGGAGGATGAATGACTTTCCTCATTGTGGAGTGAAGTTCGATGGTTTCAGTAGTTGGCAATGCAGTGCTTTTAGAAAGAACTCTTAGCAATGTGTACTCCATTGTGCCCGTGACTTTTAGAGAATGGGACCTTTTCTGAAGATCTTAGACTGGAGAATTGGCCTTAGGACCTAATGTCCCAACTTCAAGTGTTGTACGTAAGATATTAATTGTCAGCATCCTTCTCAAAACCTTTGAAATAGTTACTGGTAACCTGCTGAAATGCTCCTATTAATCTATCATTATTGTATCTATTTCTCCAAAAACAAAATGAACTGATGGAGAGAAAACTTGTCCCACACTGCACAGTAATCTAATGAACAGATAGATTTATTCAGTTTTAACTATTAGTTATGACTATCATGTGTATTATTGTCACTCTTTAGGTTTCACCTATAAAACATGTAAGTCTACCATGCAAGTGAATTTATTTGCTAACAGAAAATATTTAAAACCACAGTGGATTCTGAAATACCCAATCACCAAACTCCTGGGTATCTGAATGATTGGCTGTAACAATCTTTATTAGGTAATGCTCCTTTTCTTCTCTCTCTTGAAATGTCTGTAGTAGGATGTTGGTAAATGTTTTCTTAAAAGTAAAAAGTTTGGATTAAAAAGAAACCTGAACCCCTTCTATATTTTTGTTACTAATAAGTGATGCTTTTGTAAATTTGAATGGAAAACTACTTGTATGTATTGATATTGGGTTACAGTTATGCCCTCAAGCTTAATTTAAAATACACTGAGTGTCTTTCTTGCTCCTCCATCCGCCATGTGACACCCTGAGTTGCTGAAGAGAGTCACCAACAAGAGGAAAGCCCTCAGCAGATGTGTCCTGGACTTTGGACTTCTCCGCCTCTGAAACTCTCTTTGCCCCAGATTTTGAGGCCACTTTCATTTATAACTTCAGGAGGACCTTAAGTCTTTCCCTGCCTCACAACAGATGAATGTGTTTGCAATTGTCTATGCAATCCATTTGAAAGACATGAATTCAGCCCCCTAAATTACTAAGAATCAAGAACACATGTTAATAAATCCTATGCACAGAGAATGCTAAAAAAAAAAAAAATTAAAATATACTACTTGATGAAAATTTCAAGAAAGATGAATTCCAGTAATCAAAAATAAATGCATTTCAAAGCTAGAATTTTGTGTGGTATGTGTGATGTGTATCACCAGTGTGGAATTAAATAGTAAAAGGTATAATGCAACTTCTGCAAAAATCAAAACAACCCCAAAATATTTGATATTTCAGATACTTTGCCAATACTTAGCTTACTCATTTTGTTGATAGTGTTTACTTAATGCAACTTAGTAGCACTGTGGTTTAAATAATTTTGTCTTGGAAACTGTTCCTTTTATAATTTTATTACTATCATTAGTCTGTTTTAAAGGAAAGTTATTTTGTCTTAAGGCTTTTGGCCTTAATAGCACATTTACTTTGTCCTGTGGTATAAAGCAACCATATAGTTCAAATTCATGTAACAAGTGCTTTCTTTGTGTCAGGCACCATGCTCAATTCCTTGCATGCAGTATCTGCATTGAAGTTTCATAACTCACAGGAGCAATATTACCTCAATTTTATAGTCGGGGAAGGCAGGGACTTAGGTTAAATGACATGCCCTGGGGCCCTCTGCTGGTAAGAAGTGGGGCTGGGTGCTCCCGCCAAGTCTTCCTGCAGGGAAGCTCAAGACCAGCAGTATTGTGCCTGTGTGTGTGCTCTGTTTTGTCCCAGGGGTTTATCACCTTCGGACCTTTGAGGTCTGACAATTACATTTGGAGATGTATTTATAATACACTCTATGGCTCTGAATGCTAGGTTAGTTTTCCAATGCCAGATTTCTCAATCTTCTGACACCCTTCGTCAAACTCAACAAACTATGCCCAACTTAATCTCTTCTGGTCATCCCTGGAATATTGCATGTTAAGGGTGGACTAGTTACTGAATTCAACCCTGACAGTTTTTGGAATGTCCACTATATGTAAGGAAAGTATATTTGCAACAATATTTAGTAGTTTAAGGTAGATGATTAAAGGACTGTGTGGTCCAGTTAAAGCTATTTACTCTTAGTTCTTGATTGAAAATTTGAGGATGTGGTCATGCCTCTAAGCAGATGGTCCATTGTTATTTTGCTTGCATGTTGTATAAGTAGATGCACACAAATAGAGAATAGCTAAGCCCAAGCTTACTTGTGTCCTTGTTTCCTTTTCTTTTCCAGTTCTTAATTATGAAATCCAGCCTTCAAAAAAATAGCATTATCAGGTACATGTGCTTCAAATGTATCAGCATTTTTCCCAATCGGTCATTTGAAAGGGATAAATACATAAATGTTTTCTAGTTAAAATCATGGTATGTTTTTTAGTTTGCCAAATCCTTACCCTACTGCTTCCAGTGATTGTTAAATTCTTTCATGCTTGCCAGTTTGAAAATGCTGAGGCCAATATCTCCACTTTTTTTTTAATCACCTGTTTAGGGTGAATTCTAAGCAGTGAGTCAGGGTTGTAGACTGAGTCCCACCAATACGAAGGCCCATGCCAGCACTCATTATGTCCCTGTGCATAACCCCTCACTTGGCTAATGCAGGCTGAGTATCCCTTATCTGAAATGCTTGGGACCAGAGCTGTTTCCGATTTGGGTTGTTTTTTTAAAAAGTTTTGGAATATTTGGAGAATACATACCAGGTGAGCATCCCTAATTCAGAATGTCATTTGGACACTCAAAAAGTTTTCGGGCCGGCCCCGTGGCGCACTGGAGAGTGCGCTGCTTGGGAGTGCGGCGGCGCTCCCACCGAGGGTTCGGATCCCATGTGGAGACCGGTTCCTGCTCACTGGCTGAGCGTGGTGCGGGCGCAACACCGAGGGTTGCGATCCCGCTGCCAGTCCCCGGTACGGGCGCGATCCCGTTACCGGTCAGTAAAAAAAAAAGACAAAAAAAAAAAAAAACTTTTGGATTTCGGGGTGTTTCGGATTTTCAATAAATAGAAATACTTAACCTGTAATGTTTTATAGAATGGAAAAGAGGACAGCATTCACACAGACTGCGATGTGAATGGCACCTCCTGAGGATGCCGCACAGTGCTGGGAGGGAAGCAGCACGGAGGCCCCAGTTCACACTTTTGACCATTAGTGTTCCTCTTCCCACCCCTCGGAGAGCATTAGAGTTTTTGGGTTTTTTTTAAATTTTTATGTTAGGGGTCCCTAATTAAAATACCACAAGGGTCCATTCTGTATTTGTCACACTTTTAACTGGGTAGGATTTCCACTTTGTACTCAGCTGATGAATCCTCTTCTGTCAACTCCTCTGCAGGTGGTACTAGTTATCACATTTCAGGGAGCCTGTCCTTAAAGATGTGAAGGCAGAAAGCAGGCTTCAAGGGGAACAGCCAGTGTAGGGAGGGGAACACTATTGGGAAGCACTATTAACAAGGGATGGCAGAAGGGTTATCCTAAAATTGTATGTTACTTTCTAGGAATGGT